ACATCGTTACCTCTACGCATTTGACGTGAGTTGAATTGGCCCTTGGCTCGCCCCTGACTGAGGTGTGAGTTTCAACTGTGTGATGTTAACTGGTATAGTTCCAGTCTACCAGTTCCAGTTCTCTATGCCCTTCCTTACCCAGACTTGGCATTGTTATGTTGTTCTATTCAACTGTGACCTCGTCTTTTGTTAGAGACGGTGAGTGTTGTGTGTTGATGATGAGTGTGATGGTGATGGGTATTGATGAGTTATTTTTATTGGTGATGAGTGACAATGATGATTTGTTGGTCATGAGGAGTGATGATGAGAGTGATGGACTGATGGTAATGATGGTGATAAGTGGTGTGGATTATTGTTTAGTGATGAGTGGTATACTGTTGGTGGTGATGAGTCTGATGAGATATAGTGATAACTGATGATGGTCAATAGTTATGATGAGTGTGGTATGATGAATAATAGGGTTAAATGTTGGTGACGATGATTGAGACCCCATGATCGCATACCTTTGATGATATTGATGAGATTATCGTATAATTATGATGAGGAGGATAATGATTAAATGAATACTGGTTTAAAGTAAATGATAATAATTGTTTTTACTAACACTACTCTCAAGACGATTCATCAAAGCCCACTTCCCATTCTCATCATCATCACATCATCACATCATCATCATATGTCATCCACTGTCAAGCCTTGGACAGTTTCCCTCGCTTTATTCCTTGCTTGTCTCAGTAGCTTTACTCACTTTATTCCCTACTTGTCTCAGTAGCTTTACTCCCTGTATTCCCTACTTGTCTCAGTAGCTTTACTCCCTGTATTCCCTACGTGTCTCAGTAGCTTTACTCCCTGTATTCCCTACGTGTCTCAGTAGCTTTACTCCCTGTATTCCCTACGTGTCTCAGTAGCTTTACTCCCTGTATTCCCTACGTGTCTCAGTAGATTTACTCCCTGTATTCCCTACGTGTCTCAGTAGCTTTACTCCCTGTATTCCCTACTTGTCTCAGTAGCTTTACTCGCTTTATTCCCTACTTGTCTCAGTAGCTTTACTCCCTCTACTGCCTGCCTCACCTACTTTCCGCCTCAGTGTTCACAAATCGGTTTTCCTGGTGAGGAAGTTTCTCCATTTTCTATGATGGAAGAATTTTCGCGATTTCCTTCTCTCTCTTAAGATCTCTGACGATGTGTGGAATTAAGTCTTGATTCGTCACGAGCAGCTCGTAACGAGGTTTAAGTCAGGGTTCAGCTTCGGATGCTTGTAGCAAAGTGTAAATCAGGGTTCAGCTTGTAGTAATATCACAACACACAACCCTCTCTTCCCCCCCCCTACCCCACCCCTACCCCCCCCTACCCCCCCCTACCCCCCCCCCCCCCCCCCCCCCCTACCACCCCCCGTGTATACATAGTGGCCGCTATGGGCCGAATCTAGCATGTAATGTTGAATTAACTCGGCATTATGTGATTACCTGATTATTTCCCCTTAATTAACAAATTAATTGCCCCTAATAATTGAGTGGATTTTCGAAATGCAGTCAAAGCTGGTCTGGTGTTGCCAGTGGCAACACTAGACCTCCCTGATTCAGATGAGTTATCCCAGCTCTGATTCAGATGAGTTATCCCAGCTCTGATTCAGATGAGTTATCCCAGCTCTGATTCAGATCAGTTATCCCAGCTCTGATTCAGATGAGTTATCCCAGCTCTGATTCAGATGAGTTATCCCAGCTCTGATTCAGATCAGTTATCCCAGCTCTGATTCAGATGAGTTATCCCAGCACTGATTCAGATCAGTTATCCCAGCTCTGATTCAGATGAGTTATCCCAGCTCTGATTCAGATGAGTTATCCCAGCTCTGATTCAGATCAGTTATCCCAGCTCTGATTCAGATGAGTTATCCCAGCTCTGATTCAGATGAGTTATCCCAGCTCTGATTCAGATGAGTTATCCCAGCTCTGATTCAGATGAGTTATCCCAGCTCTGATTCAGATGAGTTATCCCAGCTCTGATTCAGATGAGTTATCCCAGCTCTGATTCAGATCAGTTATCCCAGCTCTGATTCAGATGAGTTATCCCAGCTCTGATTCAGATGAGTCATCCCGGCCAACCCTGATTCAGATATGAGTTATCCCAGCCCTGATTCAGATAAGTCTATCCAGCCCCTATTCATGTGCGTCACACCAGCCCTGATTCATATGCGTTATCCCAGCCATTATTAATGTGCGTCATCCCAGCCCCTATTCACATGCGTCACTTCAAATCTGAATCATTGTGCGTTATCCCAGCCTTTATACATTTTCATCATCCCAGCCCCTGATTCGCCTGCGTCATCCCAGCCTTTATACGCAACCGGTCACACTATTAAGAGGTTAATTTAATTAGACTTGGACTCGAAGATTAATCTTATTTTCCTTGGAACGTTGAATGCAGTTCAATTTGGAGTCCCTCAGTTATATTGCTGCCTGTCGCTGGTATTAGGGAGAGGAGGCAATGAGAGGAGAGAGATGTGGGTATCTGAGGGAGAGAGAGGAGAGACGCTTGTATCAGTGAGAGGTGAGTTTCGGGTATTAGGGAAGAGAGGGAATAAGGGAGATGCCAGGTATCAGGGGAAGAGAGGAGCCGCTGCTATCAGGGAGTGGAGAGAGATGTTGATATCAAGGAAGGACGGCAATGAGACGGAGATGCTAGTATCAGAGAGAGGAGATATAGCTATCAGAGAGAGGGTGAAGACCTGGGTGTCACGGAGAGGGGAAGATGCGGGGATTAGTGAGAGGGGGGACTCAAGAATTAGGGAGAAGGGGAGATATTGAGAGTTAACTTTAGTCCTGGACTATGAAAGGGGTGAATTTCATCCGGTAAACCGAATGATTAGAGGCCTCGGGGACGAACCGACCTCAACCTATTATCAAGCTTTAAATGGGTGATATATCGAGTTTGCTTAAACACTGAGGCTTAGACGACTAATCTGAGTACCTATCGGGTCATTTTTGGTAAGTAGAACTGGCGCTGTGTGGTGAACCAAAACATTAACTCCTTAAATGATCCTAAAAATGACATTTAAGGGGAATTTACTCACATTACCAACATTTACTCATGGAAGATCAGCTGGAAGATCATGACAACTACCGGTTTCACCTTGGGACACTGAGTCAAGCCATGTATTACTCGTGGTAAGAGGTCATACGACGTGAAAATATGTGACACTTGTGTCTCGTTTATGCCATGAGAACGGGGCTGCATTTAGAGAGGTGCGATTCGAACACAGGAACAGAACGAAGGTAATTAATTAAGTCTTGTTTAAAGTCTTTTTTTTGTTTATCGAAAATTATTCACTTTTAATATTTAATGCACTTCTCATATGGCTTTACTCAGGTGTTGTATCAGCCCGTCCTCGTCAACAAAGGCGAAAATACTCGTTAATTAAGCTCCCAAACCCCCGGTTTATGCAGGAAACAACCCGTCCTCAGACCAAGTCCATTACATCCAGCGGTCGACCCTACAGACGCATTCATAAATTTTAACATGCTGTTCATTCAAAACGGGAATTTTCTCAAGTATAAATTAATATTATAATATATTAGCATATTGTGTATAAATAGGCATAGGTTAGGTCAGGTGTTTAGGTTCTGTTGGTGATTATTTGTATTTGTAGTACGTGGGTGAAGCATTTATAGCGTTGTGGTTCGAACAAAATTCGTCAGTGAAGCACTTGTTCCGGATATGTTCGAACGTCAGCAGTTGTGAGTCATGTGTAAACCGCTTTTCATTCATAAACAGGGGGTTTGGCGGGTGCATGGAATCACTTTTGGGTCTTTGTTTGGAGGACGGGCTGTCCAGGCACCTGCCAAACCCCCTGTTTATGAGTGAAAAACGGTTTACACGCGATTCACAACTGATTTTGTTCGAACACTTCCGGAACAAGTGCTTCACTGACGAATTTTGTTCGAACCACAACGCTGTAAATGCTTCACCACTTACTACAAATCCAGATCAACCCGTTCTCGCAAATTTAATAAGTCAATATTGACTTATTAAATATGTGCATAGGTGACATACTTAACATAATAGTTTCCCTTGAAAAGCTTCATAGAAAACACCAACCTTACCTAACCTACTTAGTATGTTAAGATAAGCATCTTGTTGCTTCGTAATTACAATTATTACCTAACCTATAATAGGTATAGGTTAAGTAATAATTGTAATTACGAAGCAATAAGATGCTTATCTTAAGATACTAACAAGGTTAGGTAAGGTCGGTGTTTTCTATGAATCTTTTTAAGGGTATCTATTATGTTTAGTATATCACCTATGCACGTAGTTAAAAAAGAATAATCGCCAACAGAACCTAAACACCTAACCTAACGCCTAACTAAGAGAGGCGTAGTTCTAACCTATAGAACTTTAATATACATTAACATTAACTCATATATGAGAACAAACTTATTTGATGCACAATACATACAAAATGATGAATGCCCCTTTGGGGACGGTCGCTGAACTAACAAGCCTGGCCTGAGGACAGTTCGGCTGAAAAAATTTATAATTGTGAAGTATTATGTATTATGTATTATAAAAACCAATGCGCTTGGGAAGGGAAAATGCAGTTTATTACACCATATTAATAATATTAACATAATGAGTTCGGATCCGGCTGTCGGATTGAAATTCCTGGATGTTACATGACTTTTGTTATTCGGGTGGTTAAAGGCTTATCAACCTCTGGGAGGGTTATTATTAAGGGCACTCAAGTGCTGACTGACCAACCAGCAAGTATATTTTATTCCAGGACATAGTCCAGGATTAAGACATCCCGAGAAGCGGGATACACCTCTCTGTGCATATATATCCTTGTGAGTAAGGCAACCCATCCTCCAGTCATGTTCGTCCAAGCTGTGGACGACCCCATCTCATCCTCCAGTCATGTTCGTCCAAGTTGAGGACGACCCCATCTCATCCTCCAGTCATGTTCGTCCAAGTTGAGGACGACCCCATCTCATCCTCCAGTCATGTTCGTCCAAGTTGAGGACGACCCCATCTCATCCTCCAGTCATGTTCGTCCAAGCTGTGGACGACCCCATCTCATCCTCCAGTCATGCTTGTCCAAGCTGTGGACGACCCCATCTCATCCTCCAGTCATGCTCGTCCAAGCTGTGGACGACCCCATCTCATCCTCCAGGCATGCTCGTCCAAGCTGTGGACGACCCCATCTCATCCTCCAGTCATGCTCGTCCAAGCTGTGGACGACCCCATCTCATCCTCCAGTCATGCTCGTCCAAGCTGTGGACGACCCCATCTCATCCTCCAGTCATGCTCGTTCAAGCTGTGGACGACCCCATCTCATCCTCCAGTCATGCTCGTCCAAGCTGTGGACGACCCCATCTCATCCTCCAGTCATGCTCGTCCAAGCTAAGGACGACCCCATCTCATCCTCCAGTCATGCTCGTCCAAGCTGTGGACGACCCCATCTCATCCTCCAGTCATGTTCGTCCAAGCTGTGGACGACCCCATCTCATCCTCCAGTCATGTTCGTCCGAGTTGAGGACGACCCCATCTCATCCTCCAGTCATGCTCGTCCAAGCTGTGGACGACCCCATCTCATCCTCCAGTCATGTTCGTCCAAGCTGTGGACGACCCCATCTCATCCTCCAGTCATGTTCGTCCAAGCTGTGGACGACCCCATCTCATCCTCCAGTCATGCTCGTTCAAGCTGTGGACGACCCCATCTCATCCTCCAGTCATGCTCGTCCGAGTTGAGGACGACCCCATCTCATCCTCCAGTCATGCTCGTCCGAGTTGAGGACGACCCCATCTCATCCTCCAGTCATGTTCGTCCAAGCTGTGGACGACCCCATCTCATCCTCCAGTCATGCTCGTCCAAGCTGTGGACGACCCCATCTCATCCTCCAGTCATGCTCGTCCAAGCTGTGGACGACCCCATCTCATCCTCCAGTCATGTTCGTCCAAGCTGTGGACGACCCCATCTCATCCTCCAGTCATGCTCGTCCGAGTTGAGGACGACCCCATCTCATCCTCCAGTCATGCTCGTCCAAGCTGTGGACGACCCCATCTCATCCTCCAGTCATGTTCGTCCGAGTTGAGGACGACCCCATCTCATCCTCCAGTCATGCTCGTCCAAGCTGTGGACGACCCCATCTCATCCTCCAGTCATGTTCGTCCAAGCTGTGGACGACCCCATCTCATCCTCCAGTCATGTTCGTCCAAGCTGTGGACGACCCCATCTCATCCTCCAGTCATGCTCGTTCAAGCTGTGGACGACCCCATCTCATCCTCCAGTCATGCTCGTCCGAGTTGAGGACGACCCCATCTCATCCTCCAGTCATGCTCGTCCGAGTTGAGGACGACCCCATCTCATCCTCCAGTCATGTTCGTCCAAGCTGTGGACGACCCCATCTCATCCTCCAGTCATGCTCGTCCGAGTTGAGGACGACCCTAAAGCCACATTCAACAATTTGAACTTAATATATTTTTAAATAGGTATCTTCTTCTATATGAACTGCACATTATTACTTCTATTATATATTAGAATTGCGTGAAGGATTAGGCGGAGGTGAGGTGTTTAGGTTCTGTTGGGATTCATTTGTATGTGTAGCACGTGCGTAACGCATTCTGCAACCTGTCCTTAAACCAAGCTCGTTAAAGCGGCGGCTGACCCCCCTCCTTCTTCCTCATGACGCATTCATCAATTTTTAACATGTTGTTTATTCAAAATAGGAATTTTCTCATATATAAATTAATATTGTTACATATTTGCATAGTGTGCATATTCAGGCTCTGGTTAGGTTAGGTGTTTAGGTTCTGTTTGCGATTATTTCAACCCGTCCTCGACTCACGTCCATTCCATCCAACGGTCGACCCACAGACGCATTCATAAATTTTAACATGCTCTTCATTCAAAACGGGAATTTTCTCAAATATAAATTAATATTATAATATATTAGCATATTGTGCATATATAGGCATAGGTTAGGTTAGGTGTTTAGGTTCTGTTGGCGATTATTTGTATTTGTAGTACGTGGGTGAAGCATTTACAGCGTTGTGGTTCGAACAAAAGTCGTCAGCGAAGCACTTGTTCCGAAAGTGTTCGAAAGTCATCAGTTGTGAGTCGTAAACCGTTTTCCATTCAAACAGGGTTTTTTGACGGCTGCTTGGAGTCATATCTGGCCCTTGTTCGCGAGGACAGGCTGTGGTTATGAATGACAAACACTTTACACACGACTCACAACTGATGACATTCGAACACTTCCGGAACAAGTGCTTCACTGACGACTTTTGTTCGAACCACAACGCTGTAAATGCTTCACCCACGTACTACAAATACAAATAATCGCCAACAGAACCTAAACACCTAACCTAACCTATGCCTATATATGCACAATATGCTAATATATTATAATATTAATTTATATTTGAGAAAATTCCCATTTTGAATGAACAGGATGTAAAAATTTATGAATGCTTCTGTAGGGTCGACCGCTGGATGTAATGGACTTAAGTCGAGGACGGGTTGATATACTTCACCCAGGTACTTCAACTGCAAGTAATAAAGCCCGTCCTCATCAACAAAGACCAAATGTTCATTAATTCCAGCCGTTAAACCCTTTGTTTATGAATGAAAAACGGTGTGGTAAAGTATATTCAGAACTGGAATTCGAACAGAGGTCGTCAGTGAGGCACTATTCGAGAAATGTTCGAACATCAGTTGAGAGTCGTGAAAAGAAGTTTTTCATCCAAATGGGGTTTATGACGGCTGCTTGGAATCACATCTTGCTTTTGTTAGCGAGGACAGCTATTAACAGGTGGTTCGGCGGCTGGATTAATGATCAACTGGCCATTGTTGTTGAGGACGGACTGGACTTTACAAAGGTGCGATTCGAATATAGGCAGTGAACGAAACACTGTTCGAGAATAATTCGAGCATAATCAGCCGAGTCGGGTGTAAAGTTATTCAAATGAATTAGCTAATGTTCTAAAGACGTTTAGAAAGCATTATTGAAGCTGTCTTGTCTTCCTGTGCTATTAAAACCAGTTCGCTAAATCTCTTATTATTTTCTCGTTTTTGCCTCACCAGGGTCATCGGGCAGCAGGAGGGGAAGGACACTATACCTGGAGTCGCCAACAACTCTGGGAAGCGGTAACGATTCAACGAATCCCGAAGGCGCATTCTCTCTCCGGGTAAACAACCCTTTCATTCCGTCCAGGGCCGGCCTGACGACCCCTGGATACACCATCCACAGAGACGTCCTCCAGGACCCAGAAGACCACTTTACAATCCAAAATAAACTCATTACGAGCCATGAGGACGCCCGTGGGGGACAGCAGGTGGTCCAGGCTGGTCTCGGAAACGTTCTCACCACCCAGGGAGGCGGGGAAGCCAGCGGACCAGGACAGATCTGCAACGGGTCGTCGAACTCGACAGTGTTCCTGTGCTCCCCGGGGGAGTGCATCCCGACCAACCTCCGTTGTAACGGCGTCCCCGATTGTGACGGCGGCGAGGACGAGAGCGTCAGAGAATGCGGTGAGTGTATTAGTGTTTCTGGAGTGTCAGGAGACGTGGTGAAGTGTGTTTGACTGTCAGGAGACGAGAGGAGAATCATACTCTATTAATATTAGCGAGTATCAGTGGCTGGGTATGAGTTAAGTACTCAGGTTTAGTACATTAGAGTATTGTCAGTGTGGGTTGGGAGTCTAGTGCCTGTGCCCAACAGAGTGGCACAGTGGACAGTGATTATATAAGTGTACATGTACTCGCCTATGCATGCTTGCAAGGCATGCATAGGCAAGTGGTACTCTTTTTCAGCTGTGGTACACTTTTCATCCTTAAAAGTCCTTCAAATGGCTTCCCGGCCCTTCCCGGTTTGGAGTAAATCTATTTACCGTTTAAGCGCATTCTCCTTGCTCACTACTCTGGCTCTGAAGAAGCGCTTCTTAAATCTCTTTGGCTCATCTGTGTCTAGTCCACTCCCCCCCACCCCCCACCCCACCCCCCACCCCCCTTCGCATGTCCTCTCGACCGACCCATATTCATGACTGAGAAGAAATTTGGAGCAGAACGAGGATCGATCCAGGATATCGTGGTCCATGGGTCGAGGCGCGCGACCGAGGTTAGCGCATCCTGATCCAAAGATTTTTCATAGATACACCAAGTTATTGTGCTTTGATTGTTGCATATTAATGTCTAATACATCGGCTCTGTCCACTTTCTCAATGGTTGTAACTTAGCCTAACAGTTTCGCATGTTCTAAAGCATTCAATTAGTCATATTCTGTTGGGCCACTTTGTCCACACCTTCAGGATCAGAAGTTGTGGTCGTAACAACCTGTACTAATCGTTACTGGTATAATTATGGCTGTAACTCGACCCGTCTTCCGATTAGAACGTCGCATTTTGACGTATACTCTACCTAAGGGCGAAAATCGTCCTACTAGAAAATAGTAGCAGCTCACGAAATTGACATACTGTCCCGTTTTCTGTTTTGGGTCCTCTGGTAGGTTAGGATAACGGCACTTTAGTACGACGGTTTCATGACGTTGGGAAACCTTAGGAAGACGGGCTGAATGAACAGATTTTCAGCAGTCGAAATCGACTTTTTTGTTATCTTTTATAATACATTTAAATTACAAATTGTGGTAATGTTTTTGGTTGCTCTTTAACCCTGGAGGGTCTCGTTGTTGGCTCGCTTCTGAGTCTCATATGTTTGTTTATATCTGTGTTGTAGGTGTTGTGTCCTGATCGTCCTGTGTCTCTTCCAGGTGTTGTGGTTGTGTTGTGTCCTGATCGTCCTGTGTCTCTTCCAGGTGTTGTGGTTGTGTTGTGTCCTGATCGCCCTGTGTCTCTTCCAGGTGTTGTGGTTGTGTTGTGTCCTGATCGTCCTGTGTCTCTTCCAGGTGTTGTGGTTGTGTTGTGTCCTGATCGTCCTGTGTCTCTTCCAGGTGTTGTGGTTGTGTTGTGTCCTGATCGCCCTGTGTCTCTTCCAGGTGTTGTGGTTGTGTTGTGTCCTGATCGCCCTGTGTCTCTTCCAGGTGTTGTGGTTGTGTTGTGTCCTGATCGCCCTGTGTCTCTTCCAGGTGTTGTGGTTGTGTTGTGTCCTGATCGCCCTGTGTCTCTTCCAGGTGTTGTGGTTGTGTTGTGTCCTGATCGCCCTGTGTCTCTTCCAGGTGTTGTGGTTGTGTTGTGTCCTGATCGCCCTGTGTCTCTTCCAGGTGTTGTGGTTGTGTTGTGTCCTGATCGCCCTGTGTCTCTTCCAGGTGTTGTGGTTGTGTTGTGTCCTGATCGCCCTGTGTCTCTTCCAGGTGTTGTGGTTGTGTTGTGTCCTGATCGTCCTGTATCTCTTCCAAGCTCTTTGCAATTCTTTCTATCTTCACGACGCCTGTCAAGCCTTGAACTGACATTGTGTTATGCTGCCTTGTCTCTTAGTGTAGAAGTGGTCTATCATTGTCTTCAAGGGATTTGTGAGCGGCGACATAATCCATCATATCTTGCATAGACATCTTTCTTCTAACTTGTCCTCTTAAATAATACATCGCATTTTGACGTCAAAATCCCCTAACGGACAAAATATGATGTACTATATATCATAGCAGCTCACAAACAACTACGTACTCTGTGAGTGGGCTGCTCGGTTAGGTTAGGTTCAAGTGCTTTAGTACACCATTTACTGTCCGTTGTGGCAACATAGAGGAGTTTGTGTTCGTGCGTTTCTGGTTAGGTTAAGACGTTACATTTTTATGTTGTAGCGAATAAAGAGAATGGTCCCCTCCTGAGAGATAGAGAGAGAGCGGTCTCCCCTGAGAGAGAGAGAGAGAGAGAATGGTCTCCCCTGAGAGAGAGAGAGAGAGAATGGTCTCCCCTGAGAGAGAGAGAGAATGGTCTCCCCTGAGAGAGAGAGAGAGAATGGTCTTCCCTGAGAGAGAGAGAGAGAGAGAGAGAGAGAGAGAGAGAGAGAATGCTCTCCCCTGAGAGAGAGAGAGAGAATGGTCTCCCCTGAGAGAGAGAGAGAGTGAGAATGGTCTCCCCTGAGAGAGAGAGAGAGAGAATGGTCTCCCCTGAGAGAGAGAGAGAGAGAGAGAGAGAGAGAGAGAATGGTCTCCCCTGAGAGAGAGAGAGAGAGAGAGAATGGTCTCCCCTGAGAGAGAGAGAGAGAGAATGGTCTCCCCTGAGAGAGAGAGAGAGAGAGAATGGTCTCCCCTGAGAGAGAGAGAGAGAGAATGGTCTCCCCTGAGAGAGAGAGACAGAGAGAATGGTCTCCCCTGAGAGAGAGAGAGAGAGAGAGAGAGAGAATGGTCTCCCCTGAGAGAGAGAGAGAGAATGGTCTCCCCTGAGAGAGAGAGAGAGAATGGTCTTCCCTGAGAGAGAGAGAATGGTCTCCCCTGAGAGAGAGAGACAGAGAGAATGGTCTCCCCTGAGAGATGAGAGAGAGAGAGAATGGTCCCCCTTAGAGATAGAGAGAAAACGGTCTTCCCTGAGAGATTGTGTCCATCTAAAAGCCACGAGAAACATCGAGTTAGGAAAACACTTTTTCTCAAAAATAGATATCGTCCTCGGAAGCTTGTATTGTCACCCACCCCCCCTCCCCCAACTTTGCTCCCGCAAGATTAACGTAATCTTGAGAGTTGTGAGATGGTAATCCACTGGTTGTTCTCTTGAGACAGTTATAAGTCCCACCTGCGGCGTCTGGGTACAAGTGACAGGATGCTGTATAATGCTACTCTAGCTGGCGGCCTGTTCAATCACAGGATGAGAGATGCTGTCCAATACTGTCACTATGGCGGTATGTTCACTCACAGGATGAGCGACGCTGTCCAATACTGTCACTATGGCGGTGTGTCCACTCACAGGATGAGTGGCGCTGCCCAATACTGTCACTATGGCGGCGTGTCCACTCACAGGATGAGTGGCGCTGCCCAATACTGTCACTATGGCGGCGTGTCCACTCACAGGATGAGTGGCGCTGCCCAATACTGTCACTATGGCGGCGTGTCCACTCACAGGATGAGTGGCGCTGCCCAATACTGTCACTATGGCGGCGTGTCCACTCACAGGATGAGCGACGCTGTCCAATACTGTCACTATGGCGGTATGTTCACTCACAGGATGAGAGATGCTGTCCAATACTGTCACTATGGCGGCATGTTCACTCACAGGATGAGCGACGCTGTCCAATACTGTCACTATGGCGGTATGTTCACTCACAGGATGAGCGACGCTGTCCAATACTGTCACTATGGCGGTATGTTCACTCACAGGATGAGAGATGCTGTCCAATACTGTCACTATGGCGGCATGTTCACTCACATGATGAGTGACGCTAACGAATAAGCCAAACTCTCCTGACACACTTGATCAAATACACCTTCGTGTTTTCCCTCTCCAACAGGATGTCTGCCAAATGAGTTCCAGTGTGGAGCGAGCTGCATCGACCTGGTCTACCGCTGCGACACCTTCCCTCACTGCTCTGAGGGCCAGGACGAGCACCACTGTGGTGAGCTCACTATAACCACATCCAGGGGGGGTCATTTACACAACTACTTGCGAAACCATTACATCTTTCCTCAATCGCTACGGTTTTGTTAACATTTATAAGTAGTTGACGAGCTTGTAAACTTCACCATTCGAGGTTATTATTGTTATAAACACTAATCACCTTGAGGTGATTTTGTGTTTTGTGAAAATATTTCTGGGGCAATTTTAGTGTCGTCTGCAAATTTGTAAATGTTGCTGCTCAATTCTGGATCAAAATCTATATATGTTTATATATTATTATGAATAATAGAGGTCCCAGGACAGAGCCTTCAGGTACTCTACTTACAACATTTTCCCACTCAGACCTGATTCCATTTATACTAACTCTTTGTTTCAGTTACTATAGCCATGCCCTAATCCAGCTTAATATAGCACCCCCCCCCAATACCAGGGGGGGGGTGATCTATCTTTTTAAATCAGTCAATCGTGTGGCACTGTATCAAAAGCTTTGATAAAGTCAAGGTACACAACATCACAAACCTTTCCACTATTAACTGCCTCAACTATGCTGGAATAGAATGATAACAAATTTGTCAAACATGAGCGGCCCTTAATAAAACCATGTTTTTTTCTAGTTTTACACAAGTGTGTACAGGAGCAGACGACTGCTGACTCCTGTTAGCAGGCTGAGAGCTTTCCCTTCCCATAGCTCATGGTAAGCCTTACCCTACTAGTTTTACACAGGTGGGTACAGGAGCAGACGACTGCTGACTCCTGTTAGCAGGCTGAGAGCTTTCCCTTCCCATAGCTCATGGTAAGCCTCACCTTACTAGTTTTACACAGGTGGGTACAGGAGCAGACGACTGCTGACTCCTGTTAGCAGGCTGAGAGCTTTCCCTTCCCATAGCTCATGGTAAGCCTTACCCTACTAGTTTTACACAGGTGGGTACAGGAGCAGACGACTGCTGACTCCTGTTAGCAGGCTGAGAGCTTTCCCTTTCCATAGCTCATGGTAAGCCTTACCCTACTAGTTTTACACAGGTGGGTACAGGAGCAGACGACTGCTGACTCCTGTTAGCAGGCTGAGAGCTTTCCCTTTCCATAGCTCATGGTAAGCCTTACCCTACTAGTTTCCCCTGGAACACGACCCGCCATTCGGTTAATAATCAGGCACCCAGTTACTGCTGAGTGAACCAGGGTGAATAGTTAAGGATTAGCGGCTAGTCAGTCCTCCCTGGCCAGGATTCGAAGCCAGACCAAATCGTTCGCGTGGCGCTGGTGTGAGCGTGTTACCACATCCCCACCATAGTGTGTTGCTGCCCGAAACGCTTTGCGTAATAGTGGCTTTAGGCATTGTATGTACTAGCTCTTATCTATAAAGCCAACAAACTTTGTAAAATCTCTTTATGTATGTACCTTTGCCTAAATAAAAATTATTATTATTATTATTATTATGTTATGCTTGATCCTCACTTCTAAAGTGCTCCACCCTCTTACAGTGCTCTGTAAAAATTCCAACCTTCTAACCTAACCATAAACATACCAACACAAGCAACTTACCTAACTTATCGCGTCCGGTGCATACAAAACGTGGATATTTGTCAGCAACGCCACTATTCATTGCATTTATAGCAATGAATTTATAGCGTTGGTTACCACAACGTTAAGAACACGTCCTATGGTGCTAAACAGGCCATTGCTTGGGCGAGGCTAGCAGGAACACCCTTTATCTTCACCTAATGCATCGCAATTTAAACAGTAATTCAAATCATCAGTATTAATGGGATTTAGTAAATTTTCAAGCACTGTAAACTTGACGTTTTCCATGAATTAGCCACGAAAGATTAGAGGGGTAAACGAGTTGCGTTTTCTATGGAGTGAGACATGGAGAGAACGGGGCTCCTGTTGATGGGTAGCTAGACAAAACGTGTCCATGCCTCTGTACTTCTCCACTTCCTCAGACATGTTGGTGGGCCCTGCCTCTCGCACCACTTCTCTCTCTCTCTCTCTCTCTCTCTCTCTCTCTCTCTCTCAGACACGTTGGTGAGCCCTGCCTCTCACACCACCTCTCTCTCCCTCAGAAACGTTCGTGTGCCCTGCCTCTCACTTCAAGTGCAACAACCACTTCTGTGTCCCCAGCGAGCAGGTCTGTGACTTCCACGACCACTGTGGCGACGGCTCCGACGAACACCACTGCCGTGAGTTTCTCTTCTCCCCTTTCTTTGATTTTAAGAACATATGAAACGAAACTGCATAAGACCTATGGCGCATACGAGGCAGCTGCTATTGGTCCATACGAGGCAGCTGCTATTGGCCCATACGAGGCAGCTGTTATTGGCTCAAACGAGGCAGCTGCTATTGGCTCATACGTATAACTGCTATGTATATCCCCCCAAACTCATTCATATGTGTCTAACCTAGGCTTGAAACTACCCACCGATCTCCCCCCCCCCCTCCCCCGTCTATTATGTTACTCGGTTATTTGTTCCATAACTTAACAATCTTGTTTTTTTTTCAACCCGTATTTACCCAGGTTTTTCCCTGTTCCTTCGTTTCTCCAGTTTTCATCGCTGTTTCGTGCTGTACTTTATTTTTATATATTTCAAAATATGGTTTATATCCACTTTGTTATACTCCATTTTCCATTTAAATATTTCAACCTTGTCACCATCCTTTCTGTTCGTCTTTCTAGAGCATGTACATTCAGCTGTTTTAATCTATCTTCATAAGAAAGGTTCCTAATTCCATGTTTTGTTTAATAACTAAGACGATGATCAATTTTAAATTCATGGATGTTTGTGGTGAAACTGTAATCTAAGAACTGTTATTCGGCACCAGTTCATCTGAACCGTGATCCGAGAAACTAATTTAATGTGCATATTTTAAGGTTTCATTGTGGATAAACTTTATTTAATGCAAAGTTATAATCGTTTTAGTTGCTGGTTGAAGCTGGATGCAGTTGTATGCCAGAGCCTTCATATGGTTAGTTGATGATTATGTTATTATATATAATAAAAGTTTGTGAGGGTATATAATATATATATATTATACCTTCAGCTTTTAAGCACTTTTTTGTATCTTATAAATATATATTATTAGTGTGAGGGTACCATCTCTGGTGCAATTGTAGATACCCATAGCCTCGGAGAAGAAGAAAAAGAGTATTCAGAGAAGACCTTGTGGATTCTCACTGAACGCTTTAATATTTTCTTTTCCTACCACCCTTATTCTTTTTGTATATATATACATATATATTTGTTTTACTTTGTTACAAAAAGGAGTTATATATAGAGTACAAAGATGATTATCGTAAGTTGTCGAGTTCCTTCAGCTCCTCAGATGGCGGGCAGGAACCCTGAATGCATTGAGCATTTCCCCTCTGTATCGCCACGCTGAGGCGCTGGAAAAGGAAGCTGGTAGCTCTAGGGTCTCTTGTTGTTTCAATTAGCCTAGAACCCAATTCCTTCAAAAAACTGGTGGCACTCTTACCCCAGGCGCCGAGTGTCTCAGAAGCAATGGGGACAAAATTGTAGTGGTGATCCAGTTCTCTGTACTTACGGGATTTGGGTGATTCCCTGTGAGTGGCAGCGCCACCTGGTTGTGCAACACTCGAGTCAATGTAGGTGTTAGCCAGGGTTGATACGCACGTGTAGTCCCATCCCAACTGCTTGCCATTCTTCCAGGGGTTCACTGTGATACCATCCGGGCGACCAATAAGAGCATCAGACTTACGAGGCGTTAGGTGAGGCTCCTTTTGATGATGTTAACTTCAACGTACCTCGAGTGCCGTATATATATATTATTGTTGAATATGACGCAAAGGGTACATAAGAACATAAGAATAACGGTAACTGCAGAAGGCCTATTGGCCCATACGAGGCAGCTCCTATCTATAACCAGCCAATCCCGCTCATATACATGTCCAACCCACGCTTGAAACTATCGAGGGACCCCACCTCCACCACGTTACGCGGTAATTGGTTCCACAAATCAACAACCCTGTTACCGAACCAGTATTTACCCAAATCTTTTCTAAATCTAAACTTATCCAATTTATACCCAACGTCTCGGTAAGAATAATGATTCTAACACGAATCTTCTCAATATTTTTTATGTTTTTCTTCATTGTCGACGAAAGTAGAAAATTAGCTCTCCAAAATTCATTTTCACACTATATTATGGTCTGACGCCTAGAGATGCGTTTCGTAAAGCACTCCGTACATTTTCAGACAAGTTCTCCATACTCTGTCAAAGCTTATATTCGCTAGGGGTGAGGTGGTACAGGACGTGATTGAGATGAACAAATGGATGAATGGATATTAATAGGCCATAAAATCCCTATGTTCTTGCTTCTACTGTCTCTGTTGGTAAGGGGTCTTGAAGTGGGTAGAATGTAATTATGTGTTAATTGGCTGTTGATTGCTGGTTTTGACTTTTTGATGTGTAGGGCCTCGCTGATGTCGAGTCTTCTGTTATCGTTATACCTGTCCATTATTTCTGTGTTGCTTGTTAAGATTTCTCTGGTGATGGTCTGGTTGTGTGAGAATATTATATGCTCCATGTTGGAGCCGTGTTGCTTGTGCATTGTTAATCGCCTAGAGGGAAGACGTTGTTGTCTTGCCTATATACTAAGATCGTTGGGGCTGACAATCCCCAAGTGGGCATGTGAAGGCATAGACGATGTTGGTATCTTTTAAGGCGTTCTGTTTGGTGTCCAGAGAGTTCTTCATAAATACGTTGGTTGTCTTCTTGCTTTTGTGGTAAATTGTTAGTTATATCTTCAGATTTGTGTATGTGGGGATAACGTTCCTATAAATGATATATTTCAGGACACTTTCCTCCTTTCCGACGGCTCATAAAACGAAGTTCCTGTAAAACAATGTAATAGGAGGTACAAGTGTTGTGTTGGTTGATTTTTCATGGGTTGCATGGCGTATCACCTTTCTTTTAATAACGTCGCCAACATAACCGTTAGAGAAGTCATTATTGACTAGGACCTGCCTTACTCTACAGAGTTCCTAGTCGACCTGCTTCCAACCAGAGCTGTGAGTTAGAGCTTGGTCAACGTAAGCGTTGACAACACTCCACTTGTACCTGTCCGGGCAGTCACTATTAGCACTAAGGCACATTCCTATGTTCGTTTCCTTATAGTAAACAGTGTCGAAGCCTCCATTCCTTTCCTCTACTGTTATATCTAGAAAGGGCAGCTTCCCATCACTCTCCATTTCGTAAGTGAAACTTGACACCGAATTTTGTTCGAATGCCTCCTTCAACTGCTGTAAACGTATGACATCAGGTACCTGCATAAATGTCATCAACATACCTGCAGTATTGGGCAGGGTTTTAAGTCCCTGTCAACTAAGACCCTCTGCTCTATGGTACCCATGTAAAAATTCGCGAACAGGACACCTAAGAGAGAATCCATGGCAACCCCATGTACTTGTTTATACATGTGTCCATCAGGACTCAAGAAGGGTGCCTCTTTAGCGCAAGCTTCGAGTAACTTCCTCAATATCCTCTCTGGTATGTCCAGAGGGGTACAAGCTGGATCACGATACACTCTGTCCATCATCATCCTAATTATTTCGTCCACAGACACCTAGGTAAATAGGGACTCCACGTCCATAGAGGCTATCATCCCTGTGGCCCGTGCTCCCTGCAATAAGTCAACAAATTCCTTTGAAGACTCAGGCTCAAAGCACAAGGCACATAAGGAGTCAGCAGGCAGTCGAGCCGCTTTGCTAGTCTGAACTCCACCTGTCAAAGGTTTCTGGGAAATACAAACCGGGTTATACATATGGATATGTCAAGACCCACAAACCTGGAAACTCACTTCGGCCAATCATCATTCAGATACCCACACCCACATTTAGACTGGCTAAGCGACTCAACTGCCTGCTGACTCCTTATGTGCCTTGTGCTTTTTGCCTGAAGTCTCAAAAGGATTTTATTGACTTATTTGCAGAGAGCATGGACCACAGAGAGCATGGACCACAGAGAGCATGGACCACAGAGAGCATGGACCACAGAGAGCATGGACCACAGAGAGCACGGACCACAGAGAGCACGGACCACAGAGAGCACGGACCACAGAGAGCACGGACCACAGAGAGCATGGACCACAGAGAGCATGGACCACAGAGAGCATGGACCACAGAGAGCATGGACCACAGAGAGCATGGACCACAGAGAGCATGGACCACAGAGAGCATGGACCACAGAGAGCATGGACCACAGAGAGCACGGACCACAGAGAGCATGGACCACAGAGAGCATGGACCACAGGGATGAGAGCCTCTCTGGATGTGGAGTCGCTGTTTACCAACGTGCCTGTGGACGAAATAATCAGGATGATGATGAACAGAGTGTGTCGTGATCCGGCTTGTACCCCTCTGGATAAGAAATATAAGAAATATTGAGAAGATTCGTGTTAGAATCATTAATCTTATCCCATTCGATCATATTCAACATATTTTTATTGGTAGCAGTCTTTCATATATATATATATATATATATATATATATATATATATATATATATATATATATTTATATATATATATATATATATATATATATATATATATATATATATATATATAATATATATACTAGCTGTATCCGGCCACGCATTGCTGTGGCTCAGCAATGCGTGTGCGTTGCTGAGCCACAGCAACCTCTCCCGGTCTCCCAGTTGTTCCCACCATTCCCCCCTTCCCTGTTCCTTTGTCCTCCCCACCATCCCCCACTCTTCCATCCCTTCGTCCTCCTTTCTATCATTCTGATCGGATACATTGAAATAGAATCGTAACGTATTTAGGATAGCGTGAGTTGTTCTTACGTGCAACAGATGGTGCTGTTTTTCAAAAAAGTACGTTTTACCTGTCACAGGTGTGGCATCTATGTAGTAGACATACACAAACATGCGCGTATTCTAATGGAACATTGTGTCAAAATTTCAAAGCAATTGGTGAAGACCTTTCAGAGATTACAGTGTGTGTTGCTCTTATGGTTAACAGATGGCGCTGTTTAAAAAAAAAGTTTTTTTCTGTCACAGGTGAGGCATGTATATAGTAGGTATATAAAAACACGCGCCTATTCGAATGCAACGTTGTGTCAAAATTTACAAAAACAATCGGTAACGAGGTTTCGAAGATTTCCCTCACATGAAAAACAGATTTTCAAAAAATCATGATGTT